CTGGGAAGAGGAGGATTTAGAGCCATATAAAAATCAACAGTATCATGAAGAAGGAGAATATTTATTCATTGTGCCTCATAATAGAGGAACTTACAGAAGACCAAAGTAGAAATAGAAAACAGAAATAAGATTGATTTTCTTTTCCTTATGCATGCAAAGAAATAGAAGCTACAATGTATAGTAGATATAAAATATACACTGCAAAAAGTTAATGATTTCTGATAGAAGAAAATCCACACAAGAAGTTAATAAAGCCAAGTACCTGAAGTCATTCTTGTGACTTGATAAGGATTTCCTCTTTCCCGTGGGGATCAGTTTCATTATCCCTTTAGCAAGCTATTTTCTTTTCTCCTTTGTAGATTCTGACGTATGTCAGATATGCTCATTATAGTTAACTGTCAGTGAAAATGTGTAATACTGCTATTTTTGTTAACATCTTTTCTTTAAAAGACATTTAACGTGTTACAAAAATTGTGATACTGTCCAGCAGTATTATCAGATCTCAATACACTCTATGCCCCAAACCATAAAGTTGGCAAGTTGTTCGTTTAGAGACATCCAAAGTCTTGCTTGTTTTGTGAAAATATTATTGGTTCCTAAGATATGATCCCAAACTTTGTCCATATGCCTTAATTTATTGTTAGAAAACATAAAAGAGCATGGAGTTCTTTTACTTTCTAGTCCTCAAAAAGTAGCTGCATTACCAGTGCTCATCATCATACAAAGAAGGGCTTTTACTGGTAGCCAACATGCGAATACAATGGGTTTTAGTTTGTTTGCATTTGTATTTCATTAATTTCCAGTGCTGAGCCTTGGATCAACTTAGCCTATTCCTCAAGGATAATAAAGGGGAAGTGACAGGATCCAAACTGATCCACAGTTATCCAGATATAGATCTTAAGTAAGATCTATATTATTTACATCCAAATTAATTATCAAATCAAAACCAATTTAAAATACCCAACTTTATATTTTTGTACTATTGTGCATTGATGGATAACCAATAAAACAGAGAAATACTAGTTTTTCAAGTACTTATAGCATAATTATACTACTTTACTGTAATTTTATTAATAATATTTTACTATATTAATGATCAGCATTAAATTATTACTAGCTGTTATGATAATCTATCACCTTCACCCCAGCATCATTCCAGAGTTACAACAGCCATTGAATTTATAAATGCCCACTGGAAAGAGAAGAGGTTTTAAGCCAAAAAGCATTTCTAGAATAGATTTTTTTAGAAGAAAATCAGAGCCATGATACCTAGCAATTCTGATCAGTAAGTCTGCTGGATCTCAAAATTTAGTAGTCTGAAAGATATTATACCATCCCGATTTCAATATCATATAAATTGCTTATTGGAATGAAGAAAAGTAACCTAAGGTGTAAAGGTCTAGACTCTTCTTTTTACATAGACTTTTCTTTCCCTAATGGATTTTTTTTTTTGTCTTTTCCAAAATTGAGGTCTTCTATATGGAAATTTAATCACCCTTCCATTCCTCCCCCAAAATCATTTCTGCTCTCCACTCTCAGAGAATAGAAAAAATAACATAGTTGTAAAATCCCTTACACCTCCTTTCCTCCCCACTCCTAACTGGAAGCATCTTGAAAAGATGACATGAAATGAGAAAAGGCCATCCCATAATACAAGGAAAGCCAGAAAACTGTGGCTATTATTTTTGGTCCTGAATTAGGATAATTTTTTTCCAAACCTAATTTTTTTTTTTTTTCCTACAAAGAAGAAATTCCATTTTCTATCCAACTCTAGTGAAAAACTAATTTTCTAGCTACAGGAGGTCCTTTTGGAAACAATGTAAATTAACCAGATTGTATTCCTGATGCCTTTTAGATTTAAGGTTCTAATGTAGTGTTTCCATTTAAAGAAAAGCTGTTGGTGTCCGTTATAGCCATGAGCCATGAAATCTGAGGCATTCCAGACAATGACTTTTGTCAACCAGTCTGCTTTCTGGATAGTAAGGGGCATGTTTTCATTCCTGGTGTAGACAGGATTAAAAGTATTTTTGACATTGTTATGCATATACTTTATATATAAAGAGTTGAAAATTATTTTGTCCCATTGATAAAGACAAATACTTTATCATCAAGAGTCTAGAGAGAATGACTACTGAGATAGCTGTGCTTCTTAGTGGGAATGAACCATTAACAGTGTCATTTGGAATCCCATTTTGATGCACCTGTAAAAAAGTACTGAGAGCAAAGTGAGCAAGTATTTCTGGAATGTAACTGAATATATGAAAAGCAAAAATTAATCAAAATGGCTTCTGTACTAGGTATTTATTTGAGACTAGAGAGAGAAATAACACCTAATGCACACTTAGGGTGTTGTAAATGCATTGGAGGACTTTATTAAGTCCACTTCCTTCAAGGAAGGAAATGTAAAAATGTATTTCCCAAGTTGGTGAAAAAGTCTTAATCAGAACCAAACCTTGTGATTGAGCATTTTTTCATTATAATATTCTTATTTCTGAATTCAGAAAGCTTATCTTTCAAAGGACTCGTGTATGGTGTGTTTGTATCTCACCTTTTTATCCCCTTTCTTTCTCTATAGTAGTCATAGTGTGAATAAGACTGTTATAGTCAATTGACCTTCTCCAAAGCATTTTCCAGAGATATCTCAATTCCAAACTCACCATCTGGTCTCCCAATTTTATGATGATACTTTCCTATTCAGCATCTGTAACCTGCCTGGAAAGACATATCCAACCTTGGAAATTACCGTTTCTAAGTACACGTGTACAGGAAGAATAAAACAGATTACTCTTGAGCTCATGCAGATATCTTCCCAGTATTTGAAAACTAATTCAGGTCTATTTCCTTTACCAGCTACCAATTCTCACACAATACACAAAAGCTTTTAAAAAACCTTTAGCTACGTATCCAATTAAGCTGCCAGTGACTTAAGGTTTGGAAGTGTCCAGGAAGGCACTGACATATCCTGCATACATGTATGTAATGGAAATAAAATGTAGATTTTTCTTTGCAGATGGAATCCTCCAAGTCCAGCTTCTGCTGTGGAGGGTACAACTCTTTGAGATCATCCTTTCAGCAAAAACTTCTTATTTTAGTACATTATTGTTGAGAGCTGTCACCTCTCTCTGTTAAAACAGCATTATCCAAAGATAAACAATTCAAGCAAAATGAAAAGGATTATCTGCCATTTATCTGCAGATGAAAAAAAAAGTGTGTAATGAATCTAACAGTACAATTTCCAGTGCATTGGGACTCTCAGGACTGCTCAGAAGTGGGTTAAATGCTCTAGGCTGAACCAGTGAATCCAAAGCAAGGTCCCATGCCCATTACATGTTTGTGTCTTACAGAGAAATTTTTTGAGAAAAAACACAGGTTCATATTTTGTGACACATTAACAAAGATGTTAATAATACAAAATTAAGGTTGTTGGATGCTCTTTAATAAGTTGCAGTTTTACAGCTGTAATAATATAACTCCAACTGCTTTGGATAGGCAAATTTCTCACCAGTTCAGCTTGCCTCTTCCATTTTCTCTTAGATCTCTCAGCTGAACACTTTTCAACAATCTTCCATACTACTACTCTAGGTTTTTCTCACTCAGTCTAATGAAATTTTCTTTTTGAATCTCACCACTGACTCTCCCTTATCCAAAGTGAAATTTTGGATCATGAGGCAAATGTTCCACAAGTACAGTGATGTTAAAGTTGGAACATTTATTTATTGTAGCATTAAAGAGGATTTGTCATAGTTAAGATCTAGTGCAACAGACTATGAAACTCTCACCAGGAAGACCTACCTACACTGGAAAGCCTAGAGCTCATAAAGAGTGAGCTAGAGGGCGGGAGAACCACTAGAGATTCAGAGGTAAGAAGTTGTTTACAAACTTTCTTAAAGTTCAGCACATTTAAGCTAAACCTACTGGATTTTGACACAAGGTATAATAAAATAGCTAACAGGAAATATGAATCAGAGTAAGAAAAAGATCCTAGAGGAAAGTGAATACTAGAAGTAAAGAATACATTGTATGAGTTAAACTGGTGTTAATGTAGATACACACAGTGTAAAGCAAACCTCTGTATCTGTGTTCAATGGCAGATGTACAACATGCCAGAGATAAAACTCTAGGCATTTCTAATTTCAACACAAGCAATTTTCCTCATTCAAGAGAAACAAGCAATTATGGTAATAGTGGATTTGAAATTCACTACCAACAGACTGTTCTTAAAATAAGTAGTTTCTAAAAGCATCAACAAATATCAATGGTGAAATATGGGCTGCAGTCATCAGTGCAAAAACATATTCAAATTCAATATCAGTAATTATTTCCATAAAAATAATATTCACAATCCTACTATATCTAGTTTGCATAAGAAAATTCTACATAAATTTGGTTTTGGCTATAATTTTTTTATATATATATGCACACATATGTATACATGTACATATACATATGTATACACATATATATACTTACATAAAAAATACACCTGTGTACACAGCCAAGCTTAAAGTCCTTACTAAGTATTCACACTGATAACCATCTCTGGAGATATTTAAAACCCAAGTGGTCAGGACCTGAGCAATCTGCTCTAGTTGACCCCACTTTGAGTGAGGGGTTGGAGCAGACACCTCCAGAGGCTCCTTCCTATTAGGAAGAAAATCAAGCCCTTCTGGTTATGCTATTTCAATTTCTCTTACCCTTATATTACTTTATTTTTGTCTTTTCCCTTTTTCTTTTGCAAAAGGAACAGAACACCAACATAAAAAACATATTTTAATTTTTCTGCAGACAAACAAACAACAGAAAATGGAACCAGATGTCTAAAAGAAAAAAAGAGAATACTCTAAAATGTATCTCCTGTCTGAGAAAAGAAAAACTGTAAGTTCTCTTCTTCCTTCTGCTACTGCCCTCCTCAGGGAAGCTTTCTATCAAAGATGATACATTCCAGCAAAAAAAAATAATGTTAAGAACAACAGAAAAATATAATATAAAATTTGGCTTACCACATTTGACAATTGAAGGAATAAAAATTAGTTAACTTCTGAGATTTATGAAAAAGCCAAAATGGGCATACTTCTATTGTTCCACCACCTAAAGAATAATTTAAAAATTGATTTTAAGCTCAACAATTGAAAATATATACTATAAACCTTGCCTATTCAAAAACTGTCTATCCAAGCTGTTATCTTTGCTTTTAATTTTCTTTTAAGAGAGAATTGTTTTGTGTTACAGAGATCTTAATGAATTAGGGCCAAATATACAAACTTATCTTGTCTAAGTGCTCTGATTATGGAATTTATGATGGAGGTCAACAGGTACAAGGTTCAAAAGAAAAGAAGTTTACAGGCACGTAAATTTATGGTGAAGGAAAGATATTTGAATATTTTCTGTTACATGAATGTAACCACTTGCATTAATTTTTCCCAAGGCTGCACACATTGATACATGTGCTCAATTGTTCAAAGGAGTCATCTGATATAACTAATTTGGCTATTTTCTTGTTTCAAATTAAGAACATTAATATTTCTGAAGAAGCACAGCAAGGTCAAAAACTTTGGATGTTCATTTTCCATGTTGATTATTGACATATATGTCTAAAATAATTTTCAGGTTTTATTTAGACAGCAAACTTTCTGTGAATTCTTTTTATTGAACAACAGTATCTTAAAAAAAACAAAACCAGGTTACCATAACAGAAGTTAGACTGAGAAGAACCATGAGTTGAACAGTAATTTGTCTTCAGGACTTTTAAATAAATCTAAATCAAAAAGGTGGGCAGCTATCTGTGTTACATTTTCTTATAGTCTATAAGAAACTTCAGAGTTAAATGAGAAAATACATTCTGGGTTCTAGTTTGTTGTCTACCTTATAGTTCAGCTGTCTCAGGTGTCAAGTATTTTCATCTGCAAATGAGGTCAGATGAGGTCATTATATAATTTAAAGCCCAGAAGACAGAGCTGAAGAAGTCACCCCTTGAGATAGAATAATTATTTTTATTATTTGGTATTTTCATGTCTGTTTAATTAGAGTGCTCACTAATACTGAGTATGTACACACATACTTGCAGGATCAAGTATGGCAATACAGTGCAGTAAAAGCCACTAATGCTAAATCCCTCGAGACATCAAAGTTCCAGCACAAATTTCATGGGAGTGACGCAGAGACTCAGTTGTTCAGATTCCTCCCAACTTCTCAGTCCCACCACCTACCCACCACAGCTCTCCCAGCTCAGGGCACTGAGCTGGGAAAGACTTGTCCATAAGCAAATGAGTGATTGGGACTTTAAAATTCACCCCAGGATATACCTAGGAACAATTTGCTGCCTACAAGCTGTTCTCCATCCCCTTCAGACCCATGACTTTCACAACCCAGAGCCACTTTGATCATCATGAACAACTTTTTTCCATGCAAATGGCAATGAGGTGTACAACTCTCAATATATTACAGAGGAGATATTTGACCCCAATTCTGGAGTATTTACTGGTCCTTCACATCCTTTCATGCTACAAAGCCATTTCACTACTCACCAATCATTTTGAAATAAATACTCAGTAAAAACACAGTTAAAAACGTCTTGAAATATGTGAACAGTGACTCCTGTTTAGTTACCAATCTGGACAATAACTACATCAAACTTTAATGATGTACATAAGAAAGAAAGAATCTGTCATATTACTAATAAGCAACAACTGTATTTTTAGGTTTTCAGGAAGACAAAGGATACTATAGAGATTGCTATAAAAAATGCTTCCGATGTCCATAACAATTTAATAACTAAATCATGCCTTTATGTAAAATAGAATCAGGTCCATTCACACATCAGTTAAAGATAATATCCCAAACTTCTCCCTAAACTCCTTATTGCATATTCTCATTATTTTTAATAGCTAAATGTTTACTAGGTTTAGAAAAAGACTGAGTAAATTCATACATCTTAATCGAAAATTATAGTCAGCTGACATTTGCTGAATCTTGCTTTCCCTCTTCAAAATGCTATCACAGCACACCCCAAACTGAATATCTAATCATAGGTTACTAAAAATAACCTAATTTAGCTAAATGCCAAGGAATAAACGTTGGATTTTCAGATTCAGAGTGTACGCATTTAAGACTGTATTGTCAGATATACCACAAATTTCATCTAAGACTGAGAAAAGGTTAGAGACCAAGACCATCAGATGTATAACATATATCTACCTAAAACACTCATCATCATTACTGCTAGAGGGGAGGGAAGGGAAGGGGGGGAGAGTAAAAACCATAGCCCTAAATGCCCTCCCTGTTGGCAAATGAGGTGAAAAAAGAAATAATTCACACGTCTAGCTTTCCTATTTAATGTCCATTAAAAACTATGCAAGCAAGACCATGCAGATCTATTTATATATGAATGCAAATAAACAAAGTTCAGCATATCAAGCATAGTTTTATAAGATGAAGAAAAATGCACAAGATTTTTTTATACATCTGGTGCATTTTGATGAAAATAACTGGAATAGTCTATAACTAAATATACATTTAAAAATTATTATCATTTTTTTTACCTCCAGTTTTAGTGTTGAGATCCTGAACGCAGAAAGCTCCAGCGCTGGATACTGCTTGTTTCTTTTCTGATTTGTCGTTGTTTTGGTTTTTTTTTTTGTTTGTTTGTTTGTTTTGTTTTTTTTTTTAATATAATTTTTTGATAGTTTAAAGTACAGAAAGATTCCAAGACAGCCTTACCTACACGAAGAGAATCTGGAGTTCAGACATGACCTCCCTAAAATCTTTGGTCAATAAAATAAAAAAAAAAAACAAAAACAAACAACCAAAAAAACAAAACGAAGGAGCAAACAAACAAACAAACGAGCCCATTCCCAGTTAGCTCCTGCTAGCATAAAAGTTCAGATTTCACTACTGAGATCATTGCTCTATTCTAAGCAGTTTTGCTCAATGTGTGATTCTAACAAAAACACCCTCTGCAGCTGGAGGGAGCCTTAACTAAGCACAAGCCTGTCAAGCTTTTCCCAGTGACTTCTGTCTACTAAATTCAGACTGATGTTTTGTGAAAGGGGCCTCAACAACCAGGCCCAGATTGCCTGAAAAGTATTTCCTGCCTTTGAGAGAGAGGGAGAGAGAGACAGCGAGGCTGCCTGCCTGCCTGCGCCAGGGAGAGGGAAAGGGAGAGAGCTCAGAGATGGGAGGAAAGAAAAAAGACAAGACCGAGCATTTCAAGACTTTCAGCTTAATAAACTGCTGGGCTATTTCTGTCAAACAGGAAGATGTGTGCTACAGTTACATAATGTAAAAGTGTTTTCAAACCCCTCCCTCCCCTGTTTTTTTTTTTTTTTTTTCTTTGAAAAAATATTTTATGCATCTCTAATGTTCGTGTAAAGAGAGCAGTTATCCAGAACAACAGGAGAACGTCTCCAAAACGCCTGGTCTTTGGCACCAGGTAGTGAGAAACAGGCAGAGGACAACATGGTCTAAACTCAATTAACACATCGCATTGACAAAGGGTCTAGTGCTATTCTGATAAGCAAACACACACTCTTAGATACTGTTTACACACGGATGCTAAAATTGTATTCCTACTAGAGAGAATAATCTGGATCTGAGAAAACGAATGCTATCATTTAAACACAGTCATATTGCAGGCAGTGGTATACGTTGCTTTACCTCTTCTGAGAATCCTCCAGAGTCACACAAATCCAGCTCTGCATAAGCAAAAGGACAGGCTCCATCTTGATCATATTAGTATTTTGCTGACATAAAACACTTGTAACTACTTCGTTCCAGTTTGACAGGGTGCCTGAATCACGTCTCCAGAGTAACCCACAGCATCTACATCCTTTGCTCTATACAAATTTAGCGAATATCATCTGTTTATCTTTTCTGCTTTCTTCTGCCTTCTCTGAATGACTTCCTCTTAGCCGTTCCAGCCTGAGAACTTGGATTACCATTTGGTTTTGATTAAAACCAGACGGACAGCTCTGTAGAAGTTTGAGGGTAAGCTAATGAAAATGACTAGTATGGCTTTAATTAGTGTATCTATTAATAATAAATATTAGCTATTCATATAACAAATTCTACTAATAAACACATGCAAAAAAAGATCTTTGGCCACTGGTCTCATATTTAGGTGAAAAAACTTACTCAATTTTTATTTTATTTGATTCAATGTGAATCATGATATTAATGATGTTGTATGATTTCCAGACTATAGGGTGAGGCCAACTCTTCTTTTCCTTTTCTTTAAAGGAAGAAAGGAAGAAGTGTTGCAGCCGGTGTAAACCCTCTTTATTAATTATTGCTCAGAGTAAATGATTTTACCATTACTCATCAGGTTATCAGCTGGAACCTTTGTTAGCATTTGGCTGGCCTTCAGAGGGAGCTATAGAAGTGAAGAGGTACACAAAATAGTACCTGGATATTTAGTGACCAGGAAGTCTCCACTGAGCAGGACTGCCACAGCTGGGACAGGATATTTATTCTGAAAGGAGATAGAAAACCTTCATAATTGCTAACTGTGGATACATGAGCTTTCTACCAGCCTCCAAGAACTGCCTTTTAACTGTTTATATAAGTCCTTCATTAGCTCAAGTGAGTCTTCTCGAGGGCATTTCTTTAGTCAAAGAAAAGCCAATCCTGTAGGGCTGTCTCCAGCTCCCACTAATATGGTCATATCTGGAGCTAATTTGTCAAGCTTTAGTTCCTCAACATGTGGAACTTTATGCTAAAGTCTGCTAAATTTGCTGAATGTGGTCTTCATTGTCGTACATGTAATTCTATATATGCATTTTTCAGCCTTAAAATTACAGTATTAACTTTAAAAGTTAGTTGCAAAATTATGCAGGCCCAAATGGAAGTGGGTTTGAAATTTTTCCCAGTAGCTTTCAAGTACATGGATTGTGGAGGTAGACAACCTTAAGCGGAATGACTTACCAGAATACCCTCTGCATCTTCAAAGACAGAGGTCTTTGAAGCCCATAAAAGGAAATGGCATATGTGGTCGTAAACTCTGAACAGTCAGAAGTGCAGACCCAGAGGTAAATAACTTTTCAGAATTTTTTTTTTTATCTATATTTGTCTAGCCTGAGATCTGAATGCATAACTTTTACTCTACTGTAAAGTGCAATTTATACTATTTTCCTGAAAACTTTCCAGGTTGGAATTCCAGAATTGAAATTACATGCTGTGAAGAGACACATTTTATTTGCAATTATGCAATTGCATAAATTGCACAATTTTGAAATTTATTTTTATGGAAATCAAAATAAAACTCTAAGCCTTTAGTTTCCTTATAGTTAACAATTATTAAGAATGCTGTCTTTTATAATACCAAAAAAGTGATAAAAATTTAAAAGACAGTGTTCCAACAAAATAAACAGATATTTAAAGAGATAATTTTTTTTTTTTTCTAATTAATTTTTTTCATCCAAACTTCACTTAATGTTCCATCAGGAAGCTTTGGTTTCAATAAGATTTTTTTTTTTTTTTTTCAGAAGCTGGTCACAGGAATAAGATTAAAAAATGTGTACATGAGGACATATTTAAAAGTTACAAAATTATTAGGAAATGGTTTGCTCAGTGAAAAGTTTCACAAAGACAGCTTACATTCAAATATTCTAATGTCTGATGAATACATAAAAAAGAGAAGGACATAATAGGCAATATCTGTCCATTTCCTGTCTGTCTAAGAAAACTGGGAACAAACTGTCTCCTATATATCTTTTCCTCCTATCACATCTACAGAATGGAGTAGAATAACCAGAGTTTGAATACTTGTTCTAAGCTGCTTTAATAAAACTTTATAATTATAACAATAAAAAAAAGCATATAACAGTATTTTATGGTAAAAAAATAAAAGAAAGAATACATGGAATCAGAACATCTAAGTCTGAAAATCTTAATAATTCTGTTGGGTCTTGGACAATCAATAGAACTGAAAAAAAGTAAATAGAGGAACAGAGGAGTAATGACAAAGTAATTAATGAATGAGACAAGTTAGTAACACTGCTGTACTTTGTACGTGGTGATAAAATGCACTTCAATTGCAGTCAGACTGACTATACTAAAATGTTAGATTTTAGCTCCTTTCTATTTCTGAGCTTAAAACAGACACAAAGGTTGTCTTTCTTGCTGGTACCTCTGCAGCTCAGAAAAACATATGGCTCAGAGCTAGGTCATATAAATCAGGTATTCAGACAACTCAAATTTCTGTTTAGGTAATGTTAAATGAATTATAATATTCTATTATTATTACAACTATATTTTATTTCTAAAAGAATTATAAAATGAGAATAAACTAGGGAAATTAAAAATATATATGTATTTATCCACAAATATAAATTATTTTTTTGTCATACTGGTATAAACTGAGCACACTCCATGACATAATACGGAAAGACAACCTAATAATATGTTATTTACATGATCCTATGTAAAATGAACTACTAAAACAATTCAAAAACTAAGAAAAATTCAAAGTGTTCAAGCAATTTCTGTTGTAGCTGTACACAGATATTAGTATAATGCAGATATGGATATTTTCAGCTGCTCTTCTTTTGTCTGAAAATATGATTCTTTTTAGACCTAGAATTACATGTTGTGGTAGGACTCATCCATAACTCAGTTCTTGCTCAGTCAACTCCCTACATAAATCAATGAGAATTTAGCTGTTATCATGCAGCTAGTTTATAGAAAACCATTAACAGACAACATATAGTTTATTGCATGCTGAGAAAGTAGTACATATAAAAAAAAAAAAAAAAAAAGAAATAAAAAAAAAAGAGAGAAAAAAAAAAAAAGAGTACCTGAGGTCTTACTCTCATTTGTCTTAAGTGATAGGAATTGCCATTGTATCAAATATATTATTTAATTATTATACATTTAATGAAGAAGTTCTGGATCTGATGAAATCATTATGGATAAAACACAAGAGGGAAAGGGAACAAAGGAAAGGGAAATAGAAGCATTCATCAGGCATTCACAGACTGGCATAACAGACAATGGGGGACAATGGGGACAATGGCCAGGTATGAGGTCCTTTTCAGGACTCAGACTTGATAGGAGAAAGAATATCTATGTGAATCACTGAGAAAAAAAATACAGATAAAACCAATTCTAAATAAGCTGTTCATTTAGAATTTGCTAATTAAATTTCTGCAATTTGGAATATTGAATTCTACTTGTCAAAGAACCTAAACTTCTCAATAATTTAGACAAAAACATTTATGTCATTGTTTAAAATCCTTTAGTCTTGCACGTGCTTATACACCTTCCTGTTCTCAGTGACATGTTAACAAAGCTTCTCATTAAGCCACTAAAACGAACAAAGAAAGTTAAGGCCATTTTGGTTTTTATTCAAAGATCCTAGTTTTTCCATAGAAAATAGACTCTCAAATGCAAAGCTGCTCCTGAAGCAGACACAAGCACCAAAATAATATGCCAAAAAAGGGTTAACATTGATTAAAGGAATTAAATTACTTCCAAAATAGGTAGATGATAAACCTCATGCAGATCACCTATTTTTAGTACTGTTTGTTCTATTTTCTGTTTAAGAGGTTTTGATCATTTGATTTCACATTTGAATAATAAAAAGAAAGATTTTGTTTATAATATATTAGACCATTTAAAGTGTGTTTGTCAGAAAACAGTCTCTGACATAGAATGTTAACCATTGCTCCAAACAAATCTCACTCCTTTACAAACTTAAAATACTGGTAGGAATTTCGAAGTTAGTATTTTAAAAACTTCTCTTCATTAATTTTCGCATGAAATCCTTTCAGGCTACTCCATTTAGTAGGGGGAAGAATATTAGAAACACCAAAGGTAAATGAAACTAAATGTCCCAAGGGCAATGGATCTTCACTCAAACTAGCTATCAAGTGTACCTGTTAGTATACATGCTGGTTGATGAACACACCGTTTCTTGTGTTGGCAAACTGATGGCAAAACCTGTGAGAGTACAATTACTGCAATCCCCGTGGAAAAAACTGTCATAATCTACAACTTCGGGTTTCTAGATAAGTAACACTAAAGTTCAGCAAGACACTGCA